TCCATATTGTAGTTCTCATTTATTTAGAAATCTCCTTTCTAACTTAAGGTGAACCTTTATATATTACTTTTTTAATAGTTGGAGCCCATTTTTCGAATTCATTTGCCCAATTACTTAGAGTAGATAATGGGACTATAATAAAAAATGGTCCAAAATTTTTTTTGGTCTCTATCAAATAACATAATAAAGAGATTGTTTAAATAGTCTTACCCAAACCCATTTCATCTGCCAATATACCATTTAAACTATTATTATATAAACTGACTAACCAATCCAATCCCTAAACCTAATATTATTTCAATTATCCTCCTTCCAATAATACAGGCTATTTAGTCACAGTTTCTTTAATTCGATGAGTTATGTTATAATATACTTTATTTGCTTGATTAAGTTCATAACCTAAATTATTCTTTGAATTGTTATTATCTACAACTTCATCTTCTTCAGTTATTTCTTCACCTTTCTATATCTTTACTTTAGCTCCTATATCTTTTAAAAATTGATCTGTTTATCTTAAAATAGATACAACTCTTTCCTTTTTAGCTTCATCTAGTTTTTCTAACTTTTAGATATAGGTGACCATATCACCTTATTTAATATCTTTCAATCTCATTTACTTATCAATATGCTATTATTTTTGATCCTTTTATTCTAAAACAACCTTAAATTAAACACTACGTTTTCTAGCATGTTTATATTTCTTTCTATGAAACTCCATAAATTCAATTTAATGAGCAAAAATTGCTTACATAAATTCCTTTTATTTTATTCTCTTCCTTCTTGCTTATTCATGTTTTACCATACTTAATTCAAACTTATCTGATAGTTTATTTTCTGGTCTTCTTTATGGTTTATCTCTTTTAAAATAATTCCTATCAAGTAACAACCTCTCTAACATTCTAGATTACATTACAGCCTAGTTTTCTTCTTGTAATAGTGGATTAATGATAGCCTCTTTCATTTTAAGATAAAAATCTTTAGAATTGATGAATAGCAACTCTATTTTTAAAGTCAAATATTTAGGATCATTTTAGTGAGTTTTTTTAAGCTCTTATTCTATAGTTTATCTTCTCTTTTCTACATATCCTTACATTTTTTCACTAAATAAAGTTGTATCCTTATATAATATTGATATATATGCTTACATCCTAATTAAGATCCAATTTGAGTTTAGGATAGCGGTCTCGAAAAATGGATTTTAGTTCTTCATTTTTGTCAATTTTGTCATGAAAATATCGAATGGAATTTTAGAATATCTTTTCCTTTTCTACTTCCCACTAGTCTTTACTATAAAGGAACTTTGATTTATCATTTTCAATATGGTGATTTCTAAAGTGTCACTATCAAATTTACCTTTAAACTTGTTTGTAGCAAATGATTTGCTACCTCAATAGGTATACTTATTTTTCATCTTAATTCTAAATAAATATAAATGAATATTTACATAATCTGCTTCTTATTACATTTTAAATGATTTCTTAAATCTAATGCAAATATTTATATATTTTATGTATAAATGATCATCATTAAATACTTACAAATTTAAATCTCAAGTCTAAAAAATGTACTTCAAAACTTTTCCTCATTATGTTTATATTAAGAAATGTTAGTATAGGCGGTATTTTTATCTTAAAATAGTGAAAATTATCAAACCACTTCACAATAATTGTCAATTAGTATTAATAATTATGTATGTTAAATTATTGCAACTCTTAGATGTATATTTGATATTCATAAATTATTAACTCAAACTATTATAGATATCAATATCAAATGACATTTTATGTAGATTAAAATTTAGTATGAAATTTTATTCATTTAACTTAAAAAGCATAAAAATTAAATTCAGTCTTAATGATATTCAATTCTCAAGCATCTCTTATCTCAATCAAAAATCAGTTAATCAAAATATAAAAATTTACAAATTATAAATAAAATTTCTATAATTAAATACAAATTTTAAATAATGAATTATTCCAATATAACTAAATTATATTATAAATATATATATATATATTTATTTTTGATTAATCAAATCTCAATTTTCTTAACTTTCTCTCCAAGTTCTGGAACTTCTTATGCAATAACTTTAAGTTTGTCTTTATTTTAAAGCAATTCTGCTGTATTCATTTTATTTGTTTTCTTTTTAATTTTACTTTATTTCTCTTCAATCTAACTTTTTAATATATCTGCATGTCTTAAATTTACTTCTTTTATATACTAATTATTATTCTAAATATTAATACATCAAATTTCTTTTTCTCATGATCATTATAATTATTCAAATCTTATTTCCAAATTTCAGCTTATCTCTTATTTAATTCCTCTTCCTCTTCTTATCTTCTCTTTTTCTCCTCTATTTATGAATTTAAGAATGATCTTAATTATTATCTTTAATCTAATTATTTCATTTTTTTCTTTTCCTCCTCTATTTTCTCTCTTTCATTTTATGTTATAATATTCCTTAACATTTTCTCATCTTCTTATTTTATTAATTCTTTTTAATCTCTCACAACACCTTCAGCAAACATTCCCATTACTTTCTTCATCTTTTCTTCTCTTTATTTCCTTTCCAAATCTCTTTATTCTTCTAATTGATTTTACAAATTAATGTATTGTTATTACATTTAAGTTTCAGCTTCTTTTTCTAATTTCGCATCCTCTAATGCCTTTTTTCTATATTCCTCATTTTCTTTCATCATTCTTAAAAACCTTTCTCTCTCTTTATTTCTTCTATTAAGTTATTCTTTTTATTCCAATTCCAATTCCTCTCTAATCTTTTTTACAAGTAAACTATCTAACTCTTTCTCCTTTTTTTATTCTAATTTTCTAAATAATATTATTTTCATTTTTATACTTTCTTTATTATTCATCTCTAACTTATTTGTCTCTCTATAATTTTTCATTATATATTTTGCTTTAAAGATTATCATGTTTCTCTTTCTCTCTTTAATCATAAACATTTAATTAATAATGATGTAATTTAACATAAGCATCTTCATCTTATACCTCTTCTTATTTTTTATTTTATTTTTCATTTATTTACCTATCTAATTCAGATTTTATCTTCTTTTTGAATTCCTATTTTCTAACATTTTCTAATTCCTTCTCTTTCTTATATAATTCAGTATCGAACTTAACTAACGTAGCCCATTCATCATCTTCATCACCTTCCATCATATAAACAGATTTTGGAGCCTTATTACATCATACATATAATTAGATACTTTTGATGATATTTCTGAATACACATCTTAGTTATATTATTATTGTTATTATTGTTATTAATTTGATTTTCTAGATTGACTGCTTGGAGGTTTTTATTATGGAACATGTTGTGCTTATTATTATTGAGTGACTTAAATTATTCATATCAATACAATACCTTAGGATTCCTATATTGATTTTTCAACTTAAGATTGTGTTGTTGATCCTGCATTTTGTATTGCTTATTAAACTTATTATTTTAGAGTCTTCAAAGTTACATCAGTGACTCTAGTTTTTGTAAAATAATCATTCACTATTTAAGTGATTATCTATTCTCTATAATGTAAGTTACTTATATTTTGTTTTTGTTATTCTTACCGAAATCTTTAATAAATCTTTCCAAAACTGTCTACTTTAATTGTTCCCTTTACTACTATATTAGTGCCTTATCAATAGCTTCCTTCTTCTTTGATTCATTAGTCACTGTGCTCATAATAATATTTAATAAAATTAATTAATAACTCATCTATTTACAAATATGTTTATCAATTTTCAGAAGTCCTTTTTTATTACCCCAATATATTGATAGACATCTAACTCTGATTAGAAATCCACTTTTATAGAATCCCTTATTTGTTTAACAGATTTTATATCTAAAATACTATTCTCAGAATGAAAAAATGGTATAAATATTTGTATAATGAATTAATAATTATATCATTAATGAAATATGTAGAAATTATGACTATATTTTAACAATTAAATAATTAATCTCTCAAATTATAATTAATGTTTATTTATAATTTGTTTACTATTTGGAATATTTTGACTTCATTAAATCTATAATAATTAATAACTTAAGTTTAATAAGGTTAGATAGGTTTATAAAATGCAAATTTTAATATATATGTAAAAAAAGAAGTACTTTTATAAGTGCTTTTTAATAAACCTTATAAAATCTAATTTTCTATTATTTTATCATATTAATTTAATTATATCACTATAATCCTCAAACTTAAATGATAATAATATTTTATTATCAAATTTTACATACCCATTGAAATTTTTAATAAAATATTTCATCTTCTTTTGTTTTAATTATAAAAAATTATTTTTTTTAGGTTTAGATTAATTCTGTTAAGTAATTTGGTATTTTATTTTTATTATATAAGAATTATTTACTGTATCTAAAACTATATTTTTTGTGTTTTGAGAAGATTAAAAAATTAAAAATTTAATAAATTTATTACATGAATTTATCAATTTCAATTTTTTATAAGCCTAAAATTTCAACTTTTTCTATAAAATGTTTAGTTAATATTAACAAATTTTATCTTTAGATTTTTAATAACATAATAAAATTACATATTCATTTTGACAAATTTGAGATTCTAAAATTATTTTAATTTGTTGATTTGCTTTACTCTTTGTCTTTTTATTATTATTTAAGTCCTTTTGAGATTATTTCTTATTTTATATAACTTTATGTCATTTTTGATTACTATTTAGGTATATTTAAGTATTAACATAAATTAGTCATTTTCATATATTATTTTTTGGTTTATGAAATATTAGTAGTAGAATTAATCTATCAAATATATATATTTATTAAATTACTCTATTTTTAATAACTTTGTTGCAAGTATTGAATAAATTATAATGTATTGGATTGGATAATATATTGGATAACTTCAATTAATAGTGCAATTAAATAAAATCAAAAATTAAAAATTTATTTATTATAATAACAATTTATATATATTCTTTATTAATATTGACATTTAATTTAATTAATGAGGAATAAAATGACTATAACTCAAGATAATAATGTTAGAGAATATCCAAGTTTACTTGTTACTGAAATTTCAGAGAAGTATATGGTTAAGTTCAAGAAAATTGATGAATTTTAAAAATAAATTGAGACTAGTTTTGTTTTAAAGAGTTTACATAAGATAAATCATGAGACACATAGTTTCAGATTAATCAAATTATAGGATACTCTATTTAGATAAAGAAGAAAAAGTGAATGTGATGGAGTGATTTCTGAAAAAATTGTATTTATCTAAGTTATGATAAGCTAAACATAGATATGAAATACCCAAAAACAACAATAGAATAACACTAATTTTTAGATAGAGTTAAAGCTATGCGTAGAAAAGCAATAAAGGGAAGAATGAAGAATAAATTTTAGAAATCTTTCAAGAAAATAGATACAACAAAACCTAGCTAATTTAATCCTTAACATCATCATACAATTTAAACTCGTGATTCCATATATGGAAGTTTATAAGAAATAAAAGTATTCAGAACTTTTACCAAAGATCGTGCTTACCATTAACGAACATTGAAGAAAAAAGGTTCTGATTCAATTTGTGATTCTCCATGTACACCTAGTTTTCATATTAGCAGAAATACATAGAAAATAGGAGTAACACAAAAATAAAAATAATTTGTTTTACTCTAATTGAATAAGTTCTACCCCAAAACTTTTGAATTATTAAAGAAAGATTCCACACTAAAGATTTTATCAGAAACCAAAGAAAGTTAATCTTAAATTCATGGTATTACTTAAACTGCCTCAATAATCTTACATAAATTTTAACCTTACTTTTGCAATTAAAAAGTAATGAATCTAAAAAAATCTTGGATCACCTCTTCTTCTAGAGTTAAGACTGTGTTCTGATTAATCTTTATTGATCATAAATATAAATATATAATTAAGTATCAATTAATATGGCTTCTACTAGTCTTGCTGTCAAAAATATTTTTTTTTCGCTTTTTTATGTTACCAAACCCAATTGTACTTATATTACTAATAATTATAATACTTAATATTATCGATTGAATGTCTATTTGAATTGATAGAATATCGATCACAAACACTTATAACTTTATCAAATTTATCTATATAACTCTACTTTAAACTGCTACTTGTAATCTTATCCAGGTTACGCAAACTAGTTTTTGGCAGTTAAGTTACATTATATTTCTTAGGTTCTCTATAGAAATTAAATATTTCATCTTATGTACATTGACTTACATTCAATTCATTCATTGTAGGAGCAAAATCATCTTCAGAAATTGATGGTTATTTTTTGAAAATTTCCTAATATTTAATACTTAATTTATTTGATATATTAAATACTTGCGTGCTTCTTCCAACTATTCTTTTGCTTACATTTCAAATTTAACTAAATATTCTTGAATATTAGTTTTGATTATTTATCTATATTTATTTAAATTTTTCTCAATATGTGAATCACGTAAAGCTGTTGTTTAATATTTATCTGACCAAAACTCAGTACAATGTATTCTGCCACTATTAATTAATGGTATGTTATGTTTTTAAGGTATAAGAGGTTCGAACTTTCGCTTTCTAAATATTGCAATAGTATCTTTTCTGTCTTCCAATGCCTTATCCTTTAATAAAAACTAAAAATAAAGATTTAATAATTAACCGGTAATGAAAGCATCATATTAAAATTAACCTTTCTCTTATTTGCTAATTGTTGTAATGTAAATTATTCAATTGGAGGTAACATACTTAATTAAGATTTCATTATTTCAGGATTATATGTTAATTCTTCTTACATTTTAATATTTAATAAATTTCTATAGAAATATTATAATTTTTTTTGGTAATATAATTAAGATTCAATTATCAAAGAGTTAATACAATTGAGATCGTTTAATTGGTTAAAGAGGTACACTTCTTGGGGAATCATTAAATATAAATTATGATTGTTATTTCTATTTCAAAGGTTTAACTTTGACTTTTCTACCTCTTTAAGTTGCATGAATTCTACTTGAATCCACATCTTTAAGAATATCATTTTTTGTTGATTCTGATTATCTTGCAGTATAAATGGATTCTAATTTCTATGGACTCTTTTTTAGATTAGATTTATGTGTATAATCAATTCCAGCAATTCCTTTAAGATTAAGTGTATAAATAGCATTATGTTAATCAATTAAAGCTTTAATTCTTTCACATTCTATTTTAGTATGTTTTGATTGTCTTTTAATATAATTGTTAAATCATATACTTTAAATAGTCATCATATTTTTCTTCAACAATAAATTTCTTTCTAATTTTGGGATCTAGCAATTTTATATAGTTTGCTATTTTTGAAGATGCTCCAATAAAATTTTTATATCTACCCAAACTTGAAGGATCAAATATTAATTCATTAAAGTTAGGTCTATTTTATAAAGATGATTTATATACAATTTCCCTTCATATTGTGTTAATTGACAATACAAACGAATTTTTGTATTATTCATCTTTGACATCTAATCAACATGTATCATTGAATCAAATAGCATATTCAATTCAGTATTGGTTTCTGCATTACTAAATGAAGAGGATTTATTGCTAAAATACATTATTAACTATAATATTAATCATTCTTTTTTTAATTTAGTTGGAAATGTCTTATTTTATTTATTATTCTATCTCTAATTAATTTTTCTGATCCTATCTTCCTTCATTATTTTTACTATGTACAATCCAGTTTCTACTATCAAAGCACCAATCAAAAAGAATGCTGCTAATGCTAATGATTAATCATATGTAAGTTGGAAAAAGTAAATTCCAAGATAATAACCTAATAATCCACTTGCAAAGATGCTAAAAATGAATGATAATCCAAAATTAACACTTTTTTCATATTCTTTAATAGACTCTTATTTTTTTTCTTGGAATACACCTTTAGTTAATTAGGATGATTTTTATATAAATGCTCTGTCTTTACATCTCATTTCTCTTGCTCTAATTTCATCTAAGATTTCTTTAGGTCTATGATCTGCTTCCCAGGCAATTTATAATGCTTATAAATCACTTTACATTATAAAATTAGTTCCAATGATTTCTTGAATTTTTAACTAATCTATATGATCATCATTATATTGATCTATATAGAGTTTAATTTCACTAAACTTAGCATAATTTGATGGATTAAGTGGATCTTATGTGTATTTAAAATGCTTTTTAATTTCTTATGGAAGCTAATCAATATAAACATATACCATATTTATAAAATATTAATTGAAATAAAAAATGGATTTTGGTATTTAAAATTAAACAGATGAATAATAATAAGCTAATAAAGAACCATCAAATTAAAATGGTAATGAAGGAAATAAAAAATAAACAGGTTGTTGTGCATTTTTGACAATAGAGTAAATTATATATTAAAATTCTAGATTTTATACTCCTTATTTTAATGTGACTGAAACAGATGTATTATAAAGAATTTAAGGAACATTTTTACCACTTAGACCAGATTTTTTAAATTTAATTAGAGGAAATCCAGATTTGTATATTATTTATTTATTTAAATCTAAGATGGGGACCAATTTGGATAAATGCCACATTAATTTTTATGATAACAGCTATAGCCAATTTAAGATAGATAGATGAAGAAAAAGAAAATCAATCTTTTGTAATTAGTTATGTTCCATAAGCAACTGCTTTACTATATATAATAGCATTTGGAACTCCTATAGTCTTAGCTGCTGTTATGAAGTTTTTAGGTGTTGATTTAAGTTTCTTTTAAACCATTTGTCTATATGGATATTCAATGTCTACATTATTACCAATTACTATATTGTGTTATTTCTAAAATGAATTATTCTTATGGTTGATAATTGCTTATGGATTTGCTAATTCATCATTATTTTTAATAATAAACCTAAAAGAGTATTAAATTTTTATATAAAAATTAGAGAATTGGATAAGTTGTAGATCTAAAAGAAATATATCATAATTGGAATAGTAGTGACAATGCAACTATCACTCTATTTGTTTTACAAATTAGTTTTCTTCTCTTATGTAAAAGAGTGAAATATATTAAATATTTACATATTATTATTGATAATAATTCATTCTCTTATTTTATAAAGATTCTCAATTTTCTGCATTTCTAAGTGCTTCATCTAGCTTCTTCTCTTATTAAGCAAAGGCATAACCAGTATATTTCCTAGTCTTAACTGGTTTTACTGGTAGAAGAACTGATGTATCATCATAGATATCCTCTTCTTCTTAGAATAAATTCTCAAATTTATCAGGAGGCATTAATGATGAAGGAGGAGTACTTCCAAATCTTGATTTTTCAGATGAAGCAGGCTCTTATGCATCTCTAATTTTACGTATTTCAAATAATTATTATTCTGAGAATATTTACCATCTTGATAATGCTAAATCAAATAGAATTGTTAAAACTAATATTCCACTCAAAATAAAATAAAATTAAACATTTGAAAATAAATGAATGAATGTATGTGAAATATCCAATTTGTTTGTAAATTATGATAATACCATATAAGTTAACAAATAAAGAAATATAGACCCAAATATAAATAGCACAGATCCTATAGAATTCATATAAGAAAATACAAAGACTTTCAGATTTACTATAATGATGGCATAACAAAATACAGCCATACCTACTGATGATAGAAAGAGGATTCTTCCTTCTTTATCTATACTTGTTTATTCCATAGATGGAAATACTGCATAAATAACTATGGCTGATTATATACCACCAGAACAAAACCAAAAAAAGAAAGTAAGCAATGTTACTTTATTATTAGTTTGATATAATTATGGATCTATGTATAATATATAAATAGAATACTTTATAATAGAAATTTAGATGAATATTATTAATCTAGAATTGCATAAACCATAATAGGTACACTTGTATAAAACATATTATAAAATTGATAAAGCCAAGGATCATATAAATTAAGAGGTGAAAATCCATTGTAAAATGAAAACCAAAAGTGTGGTAATACAATAAGTAGATTTTTATAAAAGTTATATCCTACTAATACTTGATTTCTTCTATAACATTCTCTTCCATGATAGAGTAACAATTATTGTAATATTTTAAATTCACCAATTGAATAATCTGCTGCTCTTGCTGCTTAATTACCTTCTACACCTTTGATACCTATTCCAATATTAGCTGCTGTTATCATATTTACATCATTAGCTCCATCACCTACAGCCATAGTCACTATATTATATATATTATCTTTAACCAATTACACTAATTCTTATTTTTATTTAGGTGATACTCTACAAGCTAAAACAGTATGACATTATTTAGCCAAATCAATAAGTTTAATTTAATACTTTTCATCTAAATGTATTAATGAATCACCTGAAATGATTAATGCAGTTGAATTATTTTAGAATTAAGATTTTAATAAATCTAAACCTTAATTAATTTTAAATTATGCTTCAAATTAATCATCTGCTTAAATTACAATTTTTTATTATGAATCATTTAACAAATTACAAGCATAACTAATATTTATAGCAGTTTCTAATTTATCACCTGTCAATACCCATATTTTAATACCTGCATTCAATATCTTCTACATTGTATTACCAACATCATCTTATAATTTATCCTCAATTCCAGTTCCTCCAATTAAAACTAAGTTGTTTTCTATTTAATCTTGTAAATTTAACAATTATTCATCTCTATTAATAGTCTACAAACCTGCTTACAAATAATTACTTATCCATTCATCATATTATTATTTACTCAAATCTTTATAGGCTAACAATAAAGTTCTTAATCCCTTTTCAGCATATTACTCTAAATGTTATTCTGTGATAGATAATAACTCTTAATTTTATCTATTTTATTTATCAATTAAATTTATTATCATTGAATCAGCTCCTTTACATAATAACATAATTTAATCATTTTAATCNAAGAAAGAGGATTCTTCCTTCTTTATCTATACTTGTTTATACCATAGATGGAAATACTGCATAAATAACTATGGCTGATTATATACCACCAGAACAAAACCAAAAAAAGAAAGTAAGCAATGTTACTTTATTATTAGTTTGATATAATTATGGATCTATGTATAATATATAAATAGAATACTTTATAATAGAAATTTAGATGAATATTATTAATCTAGAATTGCATAAACCATAATAGGTACACTTGTATAAAACATATTATAAAATTGATAAAGCCAAGGATCATATAAATTAAGAGGTGAAAATCCATTGTAAAATGAAAACCAAAAGTGTGGTAATACAATAAGTAGATTTTTATAAAAGTTATATCCTACTAATACTTGATTTCTTCTATAACATTCTCTTCCATGATAGAGTAACAATTATTGTAATATTTTAAATTCACCAATTGAATAATCTGCTGCTCTTGCTGCTTAATTACCTTCTACACCTTTGATACCTATTCCAATATTAGCTGCTGTTATCATATTTACATCATTGGCTCCATCACCTACAGCCATAGTCACTATATTATATATATTATCTTTAACCAATTACACTAATTCTTATTTTTATTTAGGTGATACTCTACAAGCAATAACAGTATGACATTATTTAGCCAAATCAATTAGTTTAATTTAATACTTTTCATCTAAATGTATTAATGAATCACCTGAAATAATTAAAGCAGTTGTATGATTTTAAAATTAAGATTTTAATAACTCTAAACCTGAATTAATTTTAAACTATGCTTCAAATTAATCATCTGCTGAAATTACAATTTTTTATTATGAATCATTTAATAAATTACAAGCATAACTAATATTTATAGCAGTTTCTAATTTATCTCCAGTTAATACCCAAATTTTAATTCCTGCATTCAATATCTTTTACATTGTACTACCAACATCATCTTATAACTTATCTTCAATTCCAGTTCCTCCAATTAAAACTAAGTTGTTTTCTATTTGATCTTGTAAATTTAATAATTATTCATCTCTATTAATAGTCTATAAACCTGCTTACAAATAATTACTAATCCATTCATCATATTATTATTTAGTCAATTATTTTTAAGCTAACAATAAAGTTCTTAATCCTTTTTCGGCATATTATTCTAAATGTTACTCTGTGATAGACAATAATTCTTAATTTTATTTATTCTATTTATCAAGTAAATTTATTATCATTGAATCTGCTCCTTTACATAATAACATAATTTAATCATTTTAATCTTAAACAATAACAGACATTCTCTTTCTTGCTGAACTAAACTCCAAAACTTATAATAACTTATATTTTATCAACTAATCTTTATATTTGATAATCATCATTCCATCATCTAATCCAATATATTCAAATCCACAAAACTTTGCTCCCATAAGTAATGCTAATTCATCTGGTGAAGATGCATTATACTTAATTTTGCCTTATTCATATTCCACCAATATTGTATGACATAAAGTAAGATGCATAAAGTATTCTATTATTCTTCTAGAATGCTCATCATCCTCATTTAAATCTTTGAAAAGTTGTTTATCTTTAAAATCTACATTTGTTACTTAAGGCATATGAAGAAGATCTTCATTATTTAATATTTAACTTCTATTGTTTACATTCCCATATGATTTACCATAAATTGATATTGTTTTAAATTCCATTAAATTCTTTGTAATAGTTCCAGTTTTATCAGTGAACATATATTTTACATTACCTAATTCTTCATTAAGATTTGAAGTTTATACTTCAGTTCTATGATTTTATGACTTACATTATTTATCATTTTCTATCATCATTCCTTGTAAATATTTAACCTACACTAGATACCAAATTATTTTCATACCATTTCTAGAGTCACTAATAAAGATATTGGAACAAAATTTGTATAAATCAATAACCAAGTTCCCCATCTTTCCATTGTTCTAAATACTATATTTGTTTAAAGATCATTCTCATCTAATTCCAAATAGGGAATATCCATAAAATTATCTAATTACCAAAACACTGAATATTATGCTGAAAATAAACAAATTACTAATTATCTATTTTAATCTGATGTTATTTTACATAAAAAATACTAGAATAATAAAGAAATTCATCTATGATTCTAAGGTGCTTGATTTAGGTCTTGCTTTTGTTGAATTTAACATAATCTTAGTGTCAAATCCTGTATAAACAACTAATCCATAAATCCAATGAGTATTTCTTAATGAACATCCTCTAAGAATAAAATTGACTTCATCCAATTAATAAATTTTTCTATGTTATGCATCATAATTAATAATAGAATCTCTAGACTAATCCCCATCACTATTATGATCAGGAGGCATTGTGATTGTACCATTGAATTTATATAAATATGGATTTGGTTTATCATAATGGACTAAAATATGCTCTTTTTATAAAAGATGATCATTTAATTTTCTTGTAAATTAAAGTCCTTTATGTTATTTCTTGATTTTAAGATTAGTTTCTCCATCTAGATTTTTAGTTTCAATAAAACAAGTTCCTTTTTCACTTGTTTTGATAACTATCACATCTGCAGGAAAATATTCTCCTTATTCAATTCTAATAATATCTCCTACCAATATTTACTACCATTTCTTTTCAACCAATCCATAAGGTGTCAATACTAATACTATTCTATAATTCAATAATAATCATAAATACCTATTATTCTCATCTTAATCAGAAAGCTATCTCTTATGATCTTCTAAAAAATCTTTAAATGCTGAAATTGCAATGACCACAAATAATGGAAACCAAATAACAGGTTATCCATCAGTAATAGAAACTAAATCTATTGTTTCCAAATATCCAACTATCAAAAAATAGATATTTGCCATTTTTGAAAATTATTCCATTAAGTTCAAAGGTAGAAATGTCCATAAAGTATATTTGCATGTTCTGATAGTGTTATCTGGTAATTCATGGTCTTAAATATTTGTAATTATAGTTCTATCTTGTTGTTAATGTTTTAATACCTTTCATATCTCTCCAATGAGGTCTAGTTTTGAAGCAACATCCTTAGAGTTCGTATTTGTTGTCATATGGCAAATACAATGACCATGGATCATGTTGCCCCAATTCACTTTATGAATTTTACATGAATTTTTTAATAATAATATAAAAACGACATAATATGAATAATGATGCAATATGCATATATAAATGCTGGGTTCTTGATTAATATTGGATACACATTTTAACTAAATTTATATATGAGAGTTGGTATTAATTTGCATTAGAAAACTTTGCAACATACTAAATGTCCATTCTTAAAGACATTCAATATAAATATGACATCAGAACAGGCCATAACCAAATACACTAAATTTTGCCCATATCTCCATTACAAGGAAATGAAGTAGAAAATAATAAGATTTCTAGATCTGAGACAAAGAAGTGTCCAATCGACCATAGCTAGTTTTATAGTAACCAATTTAAGGGAGTGATTCAGTAAATTAAAGATGAAGGACGATATAGAGAATTCAAGAGTTTGTTACGAACAAATGGTGAATTTCCTAGAGCCATCAATAAGACTCCTTCTGGTGACCAAGCAATAACATTATGGTGCAGCAATGATTACTTAGGTAATAGTAATGAGTTAACAGTAGGAATGTCTTAAAATCCGATGGTAACATAAGCCACAAAAAATGCAATTGATCTCACAGGAATAGGAGCAGGTGGAACACGTAACATAGGAGGCACAAGTATCTACCATGTTGAGTTGGAAAGAGAACTAGCTGACTTACACAGAAAAGATAGTGCTTTAGTTATGAACAGTGGGTATGTTGCTAATATGGCCACATTGGATACACTCGGCAAAGTTTTAAAGGATGTGACATTTTTGAGTGATGCCAAGAATCATGCATCTCTAATTGAAGGAATGAGAGCTACTAAACGAGATAGAGTCATTTTTAAACATAATGATTATAAAGATTTGGAAGAGAAATTAAAATAATTAGGTATTTTTATATTGTACAAAATTAGATATTTAATAAAACAAAGTCATAGTATTTGAATCTGTATATTCTATGAATGGTACTGTTGCACCAATCTAAGAATTTATAAATTTAGCCAAGAAATACAATGCACTTACTCTCATTGATGAAGTACATGCTGTAGGTATGTATGGCGATAGAGGAGCAGGTGTAACAGAAAAACTTGGATTATAGAAAGAGATTGATATAGTCACAGGAACATTAGGCAAAGCTTTTGGATGCTCTGGAGGTTATGTATCAGCCAGTTCAGAAATTGTAGATGCTGTCAGAAGTACTGCCAGTAATTTCATTTTCTCAACATCTATGTCTCCAATAATAGCAGCTGCTTGTTTGGAGTCTGTCAAATATCTCAAGACACATCCTGAAATTAGAGAAAGACATCAATATGTGGCTTCACTTATTAAAGCTAAGTTAAAGAGTAAGGGAATTCCTGCTCTTAACAGTGCATCCCATATTGTCCCAGTTTTTATAGGAGATCCTATTTTATGTAAAGAGGCTTCTGAAAAACTACTTAACGAATATAACATTTATATACAACCAATCAATTATCCTACAGTTCCAAGAGGGTAATATCACATAATTATATTATTTTAGATAAGAGATCTTACGTATTTCTCCAACTCCATTACACACAGAGGAAATGATTGATGAATTGGTTGACTCTATTGAATGTGTATTTAAGAGTCTAAATTTAAGAATGGAATCTTAATACACAGCAGAACAAAGAGCAATCTTCTAATGATAGTAAATTATTTTCATTAAAAAAAAATACACAAAATTAACACTAAATTTCCCATAATGAGATATATAATATATATATATAATTATTAAATGTGGAGGAGAGCCTTGTAAAATAGTCTTAAAATTGCATTTATTGGATCATCAATTACATTTACTTCTAGCTTTGTATTTTCTTAAGAATAATTATATGCATGGGTAATCTAATACAATATACAAAGGGATGGAATAATTTTGGATAATTAGGCATTGGAAATTCTATATCATAATATTCTCCTTAGTTAGTCCCTATTTAAAATGTTTTATTTGTAGCATGTAAATCAAGTGTTTCTGCAGCAATTGATAAATCTGGAAAATTATATACATGGGGAAGATCAAAATTTGGACTCTTAGGAAATGGATAAGTCGAAAATATAAATGTTCCTACACTTGTAGAATGTTTAAAACATTTGGATTTCAAATATGTTGCATGTGGTAATTATCATATGGCTGCAATAACAAATGATGGATAATTGTATACATGGGGTAATTTTGATCATGGTAAACTTGGTCATTCATTTGATAACTCAGCCAAATTACCATCTAGAGAAAAATATGAATATTAAAAGAATTTGGGATCTGCTAAATTACCAGAATTAGTATAATTAAATTTTAAAGTACGATAAGTATCTTTAGGAGATCAATTTACAATAATACTATCAGATGAAGGAAATGTTTATTCAGTTGGATTGAATAAAAAAGGTATTTTAGGATATGAAACAAAAAATGCTGAAGAACTTAGTTTTAAACAAATTACAAGTTTAAAAAATATAGTACAAATTGATAGTGGTACTGATTTTAGTGTTGCACTTGATTCTGATGGAAAGTATATATATATGAATATTATCAATTAGTATGTTTGCATGGGGTAGTAATTACTTTGGATAATTAGGAACTCCTAGTCCTTCAGTAGTGTAAATACCATAACAAATTAAAGGATTGCCTAAAATTAAATAATTTTCTTGTGGTGAATAATTTATTGGTGCTTTGAGTACAGAAGGTGTTTTATATACTTGGGGTTTTGGAGGTGATGGTTAATTGGGAACACCCAGCAAATAAGATATTCCAACTCCTCATAAAATATAATTTGATCATAATATTGATAAAGTTTCATGTGGATAAGCTCATGTAGGTATTATAAGTAATAATAAACTATACATGCATGGAAGAGGTAAAGAAGGTTAATTAGGAAGAGGTTCAGAGACTGAATCTCCTAATAGTAGTAGATATTCTCCTTTATTAGTAATGGAAAATGTGATAAAGATTGCATGTGGAGGAAGTCATTCTTTTGCAATTGTCAACTAAAAATGAGTTAATTTTTAATATATTTTGTCTTAATAAAACAAAATTGATTCTATATTAATAATACTACCTTAATTTTTTTGAAAAATAAACTTTATATGTTAATAAATTGTAAAAAAACCATTTTCAACAATTACAAGAAGATTATGGTGGTTGTGGCTTTGCTGTTTCTTAATTTAATTTGAATTAATTTGATGATTAGTTCTCAGCATTAACTTATGGCTTTTGACTCTCATTTTCCAATCTTTTCTTCAAATTTAAACCTAGTATATCGAAAATGTTTTCTAAAATTTAATAAGTATTTTAATATTACATATATTTTTATTTTCTAATGCACTGGTCTCTATGAATGGCATTTTATACTTTGTTGCTAATGCTTAACCTTCTGATGATTGAACTCTTCTATCTTGAGAATCCATTTTATTTCCGACTAAGATTGAACAACTTAAGGGATTATTATTGCATATTACACTTCATCAGTTGTATTTTCGGTTATAGATTTGATCCAAGTTTCTACATTATTGAAAGAGTTTCTATCTACAATGGAATAAACAAAAATGATTCCAAATGCTCCTTTATAATATGTTTATGTAATGTTCCTAAATCTCTCTTATCCTGCTGTGTCCCAAATTTATAATTTGATTTTCTTATCTTCAACCTTTTTAACATATTTAACTTATATACAGTGATTGTCTTTATCTTAAAATCAACTCCTATAGTTGCCATATAATTTTATGAAAATTTTTGATCACAATATTAAGTAAGGATATTGGTCTTTCCTACTCCTGAGTCTCCTAATACAATTACCTTTACCAACCAATCGTAATAACTATTAGACATTTTAACAAAATTTATAAATAATATTTATTATTTAATATTTGATAATCATTTAACATTACTTCATAACATTAAGAATATTAGTTTAATTCTATTATTCATTTAAATATTTTATATCATTTCAAATTCACTTTTGTTTCTTACTCTCTTTAAAAGTAATATAGAATTAAGAGTTAACTAACTTAATTATAGTATTTAATTTTTTAATGTAATGCATTAAAATTATAAGACTTTGTTCTTATTGTAATTAATGGTTTTACTTTAAAAAAAAAATATTAGGATTTCATAAAATTAGCAATGATTATTTTTATTAATTTTTCTTAATTACATATTAAGATTCAAATGTAATTAATAAAATAATTATAATAATAGTATTTTTAAAAAGAAAAAAGAAGAGAATTTTATTTTTAATGGGTGTTTTTACATGATATATATAATAATAAATAAGACAGTTCTTAGTGCTTAAATTATGATTAAATAGGGTTGACCAATTTAATTTAAACTATCATTAAAATAATATGAACTCTGGATTGAACAACTAAAATTCCTTATTGCAGCAACTAACTCCAGCCCAACTTGAAGAGTATTAGCAATAGTTAAGGTAAACTTCTATCTTCATATTCTTTATATCATATTACTTCATATGCTCTAATCATATATTTGGCAATTAATTACCTATTTTAGATAGCAACAATTTTTCACCAATCTTTTGAGTAGCAACATGAAAACCTTACAATTCCCTGGCATCTTTCAATAGTTTTAGGACAATCTTATAAGAACCTCATAACCACAAGATCTGTTCAATTTTAATCGTGGTAAGATATCATCAATTCTACATCAATTATAATATTGTGACCTTATAGTTATTTGAATTAGCTTATATTTGCTTAGGTTTGGGAGGTGCAATGAATTAGATTGATTATATGAAATTATTATAGAAAAGCTTATAGATGAATACAAGTGCCATAAATGCCTTCAATTAGAATTAGTTTTTCTGCTAATTAGGAATGATGGGTCAAAAGAAAACAAATACTGTGTAAAATCCAATTACTGTTGAAGATGATGACCCCCCTTAAATTTAGAAATGTCAGAATTCTAAATGCAATAATAAGGGAGATCGTAAGACAAAGTCAAAGAAAGGTGAAACCCTCTAATTCTGTGAAAAATGTTTAAGGATGTACAATCGTGGAAATTTTTGTGATTTTTGTGAATAAGTATTGAAAGAATTTTTTTAAGATTTGTAGGTCTATTCAAATGGGTCTTATGATCATGATGAATAAGAATGGATACAATGTGATGAATGTGAGAAATGGGTATATTTCAAAAGATATTGATAGAATCATCTAAATTGTGAAGCTAAATGTAGGAATTCGAATATAAAAGAAGAGACTGAGAATAAAGTTTATTATTGTTTAAATTGTTCTAAAATTAAAAAACAATAACAATAATAATAATAAATTCAGTAATAGAAGAAATAAGAAAAGACGACAGAAGAATATCAGCCAAAATAAAGAACTATAATGGAATGTGAGGATGCTAGAACAAGAGAGAAGAATATCAATTTTGTAGCTACTAAAGATAATAAAGTTTAATTTAGTAAATTTATAAATTTAATAATTTTTAATAGCATTTCGATTGAATCTATATGATGATGAAATTAAGTCAGATCTCGATTTTCTGAGGAATTCTGGCAAGAAGAACATTAAGAAATAGAATTAATAAGATTCTCCAATCATAAAATAAATTATAATACCATAATAATAATTATAATAATAATAATAATCATAATAATAATAATAATAATTAATATAAGAAGAGAATGTAATTATATAATCAACTCATTATTAGAATTCTGATTAATAAATGAATAGTAGGAGAAGAACTAGAAATAACAAAAATAGAGTTAATTATAGAAATTTAGGGGGTGAATGAATGATATGAAATATATTTAATTGAAATTTTAATTTAAATAATACTCACATATATATCCAAATAATTAAAATGTCTGATTTGAGATTTGATAATAAGGTTGTTGTCATAACAGGAGCAGGTAGAGGACTAGGAAAAGCTTATGCCTTATTTTATGGGTCTGTTGGAGCCAAAGTATTAGTAAATGATAATGGTTGTGATTTAGATGGAAAGAACACAAATCCTAAGTTTGCAGATGAAGTAATCAATGTTCTAAATTTAGGTTGTAGCAACAATAAAGAGTAAAGGAGGTATAGCAGTGGCTAACTATGATTCTGTGTTGAATGGTGATAAAATCATTGCACATGCTATAAAAGAATTTGGAAGACTTGATGTTCTTATTAATAATGCTGGTATTTTAAGAGATAAGATATTGGCTAAGTTGACAGAAGAAGATTGGGATATTGTCATTAAAGTAAGATTAAAGTTTATATTATTTAAGACTCATCTATATGGAACATATTCTGTGACTAAGGCTGCTTGGCCAATCATGAGAGATTAAGGTTTTGGAAGAATAGTTAATACATCCAGTGGATCTGGGTTGTATGGAACTTTGGGTCAAACAAATTATGCAGCTGCAAAGGCAGGAATAGTTGGACTAACATTAACATTAGCAAAGGAAGGGGAAAGAAGAAATATATTGTGTAATGTTTTAGTTCCAGTTGGAGCATCTAGGATGACAGAAACAATTATGCCACCTGATGTAATGAGTGGAATTGATCCAAATAATCTCACACCAATATGTATCTATTTAATAATATTTTTAAGTGGCTATTTTAACTCATGAATCAAATAAAGAATATAATGGTGGAATTTATGAATGTTCTGGAGGATTCTTCTCTAGAGTCAGATGGTAAAGATCTGAAGGAGTTTCCTTAGATTTACCTGTTAAAATTAGTGAAGTATAAAAGAATTGGGCAAAAATTAATGATTTTAATGGAAAGAATGAATATCCAACTGGAAATGCTGACTTATTCAATAAGGTTTAAGAAAATCTAGAAAGGTTAGAATAATAGGCTGCCTAAAAACCAAAGTTATGAGTTTAGAATTTACATTATTAATATCAATAATATATTGAATTTATCATTAAATTAAATAATAATGGTATGTACAAATTAGTAACTATCTTATTTTTAAATGAATAAAGAATTTACATTCAAAAGTCTATCTCATTTAGATCCTTTTCATTTTTAGAATCAATTTTTAAACTAATCCTCATATAAATTCAAATAATAAGATTTCTAAGGCTATTTATTCTAATATTCCCCATGAAATAGATTAAATACAATATATTTTAATGAATTTGAGAATTAAGACATTTTTAACAGATTTTATTTATATATAACAATAATTAAAAATAAACAACTATAAAATCTTGTAATTCTGTTTTTCTTGATGACATTTATATATAAATTTTGACAATTACTTAAAAATATTAACCAAAAATAATTTGAAAGTCTTTTATTAGTTATTTAAAATTTACATATTTAATTTATAATGAAATCATTACAATATGTCAAATATTATTATATTATTATTGATTCAAATATATATTATGTGTTGTTTTCAAAATTATATCAATTTTTATTTTTCTGAAATTTAGACAGAAATTAGAATCTAAAAATGATATTTATATATATAATAAAATAGTTAATAATGTTAATTGGTTTAAAGGATGTATTTTTAGTAATTTATATAAAATTAAAATTCATATTCAAAGAGAAATAATGGAAATGTTGTAGAAACAATTAATGAACTACATATATGAGGAAAGAAACATTGGAGGAGGATAATTCAGTGAAGTGTTTTTGGGATTTGAAATATATACAAAAGAGAAAGTAGCAATAAAAGTACTAATACATTGAGTTAAGCAAATCGACTGTTCACGAATGAGAGATTAAGTAATGATACAGATGATGAGAAATGAGATTGGGATTCTTAAAATTATACCTAAATAGTAAAACATTCTGAAATTATATGATGTATTTCAAAATAATTAACTTGTTTACATTATTACTGAGTATTGCAATCAAGGTATAAACTATCAATTTAATCAAAGGGGATTTACAATAGTTTATTTAGAAACATTAAATAAGTGAAGATATAGCAATTGATTTAATCACCCATGTATTGAATGGTCTTTAACATTGCAAGAATAATTGTAAGTATTAATCATAAGAATTTAAGATATAATTCATAGAGACATTAAACCTGCAAATATATTTATGAGTAATGGAATACCTAAATTGGCAGATTTTGGATTTGCTCTATGTAAAAATGTTTAAAATGGAGTTGAAATACAAAATTATAATGTAGGTACTCCTATGTATATGGCTCCAGAAACATTATTAAATAATAATTATAGTTTTAAAAGTGATTTATGGTCAGCTGGAGTAGTTTTATATGAAATGGTATTTGGATAATAGCCATTTAGATCACAAACAGAACCAGAATTAGTTTAAAAACTTAGAATTTATTAATAGAATGGTTTACTCTATTATCCATTTTAATGTTCTCGGTTTTTAGATATTCTGATATAGAATATGCTTTAATGTGATAAATAATTGAGATGGTCAGTTGAATAATGTTTGGATTATTTAAGATAGAGAACTTAATAAAGAATGATAACAAGTCAAAAATATATACCTTAATAATCTTAACATGCTAGAAGTGTTACTCCAATTTAAATAGTTTAATAATAATAATAATAATAATAATAATAATAATAATAATAATAATAATAATAATAATAATAATAATAATAATAATAATAATAATAATAATAATAATAATAATAATAATAATAATAATAATTGTTATAATAATAGCAATTGTTATAATAATAGCAATTGTTATAATAATAATAGAAATCAATATTACCTATTTAATATTAATAATAATTCAAAATTTAATAATATCCAATCTAAGTTAATACCAGTCAATAATTATCTTAACTTCCTATGTAATAACAAATCATTCAATAATAATAATATTTACATTTTTCAAATCCCTCTCCCCATTCCAGCAGAGATGCTCCTAAATAATTTAATGGAATAAAAACAACTCCAGAAATTTCTTATCTACCTATGAGATTTCCATCAGTATAGAGAGAAAGAAATACAACATTATAAGATGAATCATAACGGAGTAATGTAGAACCTAATCAACAAAATAAACATAGTTAATAATTTGGCAATTTACTGTATAAAATTGCAAAGCTTTTTATTAATACATAATATTTTGAATAATTCAGTTAAGGTAAAATGTATACAAGAACAGAATGCATGTTTTTGCAACTTAAAATATAATTCTGTCTATTATAATGTTGCATTCAAATAGTAAATTCAAAATTATATAATTTAGTTTTAACATTCTAATCCTTGTTTACCTGAATGCTAAGTCAGATTATAAAATGTAAAATATACAATACTCTAAATGCCTGATTAATATATTCAAGATCCTAGATTCATGTCATTATTTAATAACAACTGGGTTTTGGACAATATTTTAGAATAATTGAGAGAATATAATTATGCAGCCATACATTTAATTAATGATTACTTACATAAAGATTGCAGCAATCCATAATTGATAATAATATTAGATTATTTGGTCATTCTACAATAACTATTGAAACGCTTCGCTGCTAGTCTTACATGGATGGAATTTGATAAGAGAAACAATATTGCTGCTATAGTACAGGCAACAATTAATCCAAATCCAAATTAACTTTAATGGATGAATATTTGCAATATAATACAGAGAGATATTGTTAAATGAAGTAACATTTTTTGTTTTGAAATTATTTTACATTATTTTTTATAATAATGTGTTTTATATCTAAAAAATTGGATCATCTCTTATAAGAAAGTAAAAGAAAATTCATTTATTCCTTATGATAATTAAGTCTAAATATTATTAAAATTTGATAAAAAAATCGATTTATCATAATCAATTTTATATTAATTTTCTTATAAATTAATTATTTAAATAACTAATAGGTTTATTCTAAAATAAGGAAGGAAAGAAAATAAGAAAAGCTTTTAATTGATTGCAGATTTCATAGACATAATAAAATGAGTCATTAACTACTGTATTTATTATTAAATATTTGAAACTTAATAATCCTTTTAAACTTTAGATACTTCTGTTGAAAATTAGAATAGTATGTGGTTCAGTATAAATCTATAAAATTGAAGCGTATTTTAGATTTTGCAAAACTCATACTTATAATTTTCAGAAATTGGTGATAATTTTATATAAATTGAAATAAAATCAAGATTAAAATAAATAAAGTAAATAAGAAAAAAATAATAAAAAATAATTTGAAACATATTGAACATTATTAAATTGTGTTATTCGATTATAGATATCTTCCATTTAATTAAGAATTAGGAATATATTATCATTAATTATTTTTGCCAATAGATATGGATATATTAAAATATTATAACATATTATTAGTATCATAATTAAGTATGAATTTGAAAGTTGGAGTGTTTATGTATATAAATTATATTCTTGAATTTAATAATCAATAGGATTACTATCTTTTACATATATATATATATATATATTTATTATAAGTTAATTTTTGAAAATGGGTAATGCAGATAGTAATGCAAGTATTAAGGCCATGCATACAAATTATATTGTTGTAAGAAATATAAAAGATGATACTCGTTATGGAGAAGGAAGGATAGTAAAATAGAAGCAAACTAAATAAGAAGTATTTTAGAAGGAAATCAATTTAACAGATGAAGAAAAATATTCAGCATTAAAAATAATGCTTGAAAAAAAGGAAAGCAATTCATATGATAATTTGATCAATATAACTAGTATTTAAATTAGCAATATAATTATTAGAGTTGTTTTATCACGAAGAAAATCAATTTTGTGGTTAATTTTTTAAGATCTTCATTTTAATGGAATATATACCAACAACTTTGTTTGATATCTTAGAATAAAGATTAGCTAAGAAATTAGAATTTAAAGAATCAGAACTATGGACTATTCTAATAGGATGTATAGAAGGATGTTGTATACTGGAATCTTAGAAAATCACTCATCAAGGATTAAGATTAGATACAATCTCTTATATAGATTAATTTCCATATGTCAAGATTCTAGATCCAATTTTAAGTGGAGTTCCTACTACTTATCAATAATTATTATAAGATGACACTAAATAAATCAATTTGAATTATTTAAGTCCTAAACTCATGTAATCACTTAATGATGATATGTAACCATAACATAATCCATACAAAAGTGATGTATATTCTTTAGGAATGATGATGTTGCATTTAACAAGTTAACATAATTGTGAAGATTGTTATGATATGTAAAAAATGAGAGTAAATCATTAATAAGTTTAAAGGAGATTATTAAATTTAGAATAAAAATTCTCATCTTAATATATTCAAGTCTTGAGAACTATGCTATTACTTAATGAAGATTAAAGACCAGATTTTCTTTAATTAAGATCTGAAATGTAATCTATGTCACCTCCAGCTTCTCCTAAAGCTTATATTGAAGAACAAGAAGAAGAAGTCATCCAAACCAAAAAGAGTCCAATTATTTAAGTTGAAGCATATGAATAAGCTGTAGAGAGCTTTGCAATACCCTAATAATAATATCAATTATAAACTTCATAATAACCATAAATATTTGTTAATCCTGAATAAAGTGCTAAATTTATATAATAATCATAAAGTTCAGTACATAATTCTTAAGTACAAGCATAAAGATCAATTTAATTAAGACAATCTTAGCAATCCGTCTAATCCAATTAATCAATGTATATATAAAGAAATGGTCTTAAAGACTTAAGACCTGATATATGTGATCATTTAAAAATTGTAGTATTATCATTTAATTTAGTTACCTTTATCAGAATAACCCTCAGAATAATCATAAATTGATACCAATATAGGTAACAAAATAGGAGCTGAAGAATTATTGAATCGTTCTAATTTAGAATAATAAGATACATTAATGCCAATCACATCATTTTCTAATTCACAATAATATTAGTAATTTTTACAATCTAAATCTAATATGCCAGTTTCATATGAATCTTATAAAATGGAATCCACTTATAGAAATTAATAAAATGTTGATCCTGTTTCTAAATATGATTATCTTTATGATAAACAAATGAGCAATCAACAAAAATTTTCAAATTATCAAAGTGATTTGAAAAGAACTTTAGAATCTAATAGGGTTTAAACTGTTTCAGAATCTTATCCTAATGGATCAAGATATGAAGGCCAAAAATTGAATGGAATGAGACACGGTCAAGGGACATTTTTCTATTAAGATAATGGTGGAGTTTATGAAGGTTAATGGTTTGAAAATAAAATGCATGGTTAAGGTTATACATTCAAAGTAACATCTATTAGGTACTTTATTTTATGCCTCTGGTAAACCAGCATATGAAGGAGAGTGGTTGAATGATAAATTTTAGGGTAATGGCACTTTGTACAATGAAGAACCTTAAGCACTTTATGGAGATTTTGATTTTGGGGATTTTGATACAATTGGAGAGTATTTATATATTAAAATAAGTTATTGGACAAGATATGTTGGTTAATTCAATTAAGATAATAAAGAGGGTCAAGGCACCTTATATTTATCAAATGGTGATCGATTTGAAGGCAACTTTCTATAAGACTTAATAAATGGTCCTGGAAGATATATCAAAAAAAATGGTTAAATAATTTAAGGAAAATGGTGGAGAAATAAACTATAATAGTGATTTTGATTAAAATTATAGAATATTGTTTTTCAAAATTAAATTTCAAATTTATGAGTTACCCTTATGGATTTTGCTCTCCACAACGTCCCATGCACCCTTAAGTATATTATCCAAATTCCATTCCACAATAAAGATAAGCCCAATATTCTCTTCCACCCTCTGTAATTTTTTCAAATATTATTAATCTAGGTTTACCGCCCATCTATTGGAATGAGACCTCCTCAATAACCTTATTATCCCTAATATTAAATTTAAAATCCAACTCCACCTATTAATTATGGTCAAAGTCCAGTTAAACCATAATCAGCTTTACAATAATCTTATCCAGTCCATTAACAAAATCAAAGAATCCCAAATTATCCACCTTAAGTTTATAAATAATAATAACAGATTGCTGTAAGACCACCAGTAGGATAATAGTAAATTCCTCCCTAATAAAGAGGAACAGCTCAATATCATTATTAGCCATAATAATAATTATTATCAAAACAATAACCATTGTTATCACCATAGTAGTAGCCATAGTTGTTACCATAGTAGTAAACATAGTTATTGCCATAGTAATAAACTTAAAATAAAGTTGTCTAACCTCCTAAATAATCTTCATAATAATATTTACAAAGTTAATCAAAACCATAAGCACATCCTTCTTAACATAGACCTGAGTAATAATAAAATTAATAAATTCCATAACAATAAAAACAATAAGTTAATAAACCTCCTTAATAATTTAAATAACCATAATAATCATAAAAGGATGATGATTTAGAAAAGAAATTTTAAGATGCTATAGATAGAACAAGAGATCTTGTTTAAAAATATTAAAATCCATAAACAAAATAACCTTAATAACCATAATAAACACAATAATATTAGAGTCCATAAACAAAATAAGAGTAGAATTCCAATCAACCATAAGTTGATGATAATTAGTTATAAGATTTAGCTCTTTAATATGAAGATGGTTATATTTATAGAGGTTAAGGTTATGAACCAGCTACTAGAGAAGGTTATGGTATTTTGACAGATTAGGAAGATAATACAGTTTATGATGGTTAATGGAAGGATAATTAATATCATGGTTAAGGAAAATTGATTAATGTTTAAGCAGAATAGATTGAAGGTCCTTTTGATTATTAAGATTTAAGTGTTATTGAAAATGGATGGCTTGGTTATGAAGGTATTTTAATTATTATTATATTAAAGGTGATTTTTTTGAAGGAAAAATGAATGGTTTTGGTAGATTATAACTTACAAATGGTGAAATGTTTGAAGGTCAATTTTAAGATGGTATGATTGATGGTGAAGGTATTTTTACTGCTGCAAATGGTTAAACTATAAAAGGATTATGGAGAGAAGGTGTATTAACTTAAGTTTTTGCATGATTTAAACATTCAATATATAAATTAAATTTAATGTTATATGATAGTAAAAGTACCAAGATTATCTCACCTCCAAAGATATTCAATGATTTAGATAAAAAGTATCAATCTCTCTATTTATTCTTCTTTTAAGGAGGAATGATGCCATGGATATTGTTTAACATCAACATGGCGAAGTGTAAAATTATATTGAACAAGTTAATGATAAAACATTGATAGCAATTTAAATGGAAGTATATAAATTATCAAATAATTTTAGGAATAAAGATTAAATTAAAGATATTTTCATTTACTTAATTAACTTGAAAAAACTAAGTTGCAAATCATTAAATTAGAAGAAAAATTAAGATAATAAAATGAGTATTAATTATTATATTATATTGTTTAGTCTTGAAAATCATCCTTAAATAAAATAAATAATAAGTGAATTATCAAAAGTAGATTAATATCGTTTAGCATTAATCAAAAAAGTACTCCATTTATTATTTATTAGACTTAATAATTAACATAAGAATTACAATTAAACTAATTTACAATCAAAGAACTTAAAGAATAAGTTTAAAATAAACGTCTTTAAATAAGAGATTGTGTTAGAGATTGTTGGCAAATCTAATAATAAATTATTAATTCTAAATCTAATTATACATAATCTACATCAAGAACAGTAATTTATTGAAAATATAAGATTAGTAAAGAATTCAATTACAAAGTCTCGATATCAGTAGTAATAGAAGCAATATCAATCTATTTATAACTAATTAAGATACAAATACTAATAGATTGAGTTTATCATAATTACCTCCCATTAAATTAAAAATGAACTCTAAAAGTAAATTATTAGAGGTTCTTCAAAAAGCTACTTTTAGAGGATAATAATAAGTAACACTAATTTAACATTTTATTTATTTAGCCTGTTAATGATATTATTGAAATATATAAATAAATTAATATTTTGAGGAGAAGAATTATTGAATAGAGGCATGAAATAAAGAGAAAGTAGAATTAATACAGTTCTATAAGAAATTTACTTGTTTATTGTGCAAATCTATCTTTAAAATAATTTAAAAATAAATAGAAAATTACAAATTATAATGGATATGCAAATTCTATTTATTTTGATTTTAGTACATCAATGAATTAATCTATTACTGAACATTCAAATAATCCTAATAAAGAAAGAAAAATTTAAAATATATTATATGATACTCTTTAATAAATAATGATTAATATGATTGATGCATAATAAAAAAATGAGTAAAACTTAACTGAAGAAACAATGTAATAAATATATTTGATAATAATAGTATTAAAAATGCAATTTCTTTAGAATAATTTATGTAATTCTCTTCAGAATAGATTTTGGGATTATTGGCACTATAACCAAGATTGATGTAAGAATTATTAGAGAAATTCGAATTAAAATATAGATAATTAGGTATTTTATCTTAAAAGATGAAAAATTTAACATAAAATTTTTGAATTTTAATTTGATCTAATATAATAGAATCAATTAGAATAATTTCATTTATTTAAAAATAATTTACATTGCTTTTATATTTAAAATGTTAGTTTTTAAATAAAACAATTATATATAAAAGTTCATACATTAATAACTAAGGATAATGCTTTAAGTACAGATGGTATAGGTACTTATTTATCATCTATTTTTTTGGTTAAATCTTTAAAAATATTCAATTCTTATTGATTTACTTAATGCTATTCTATAAATTATTCAATTATTTTAGTAGAATTATGATTAGTAAATAAATTTTATGGTTTAATTTCTGAATAATCTTAAGAATATGATAATTTCTTTTTAAATTCTATATTGGATTACATATCTAAAGATGATATATTTTATATTTAAATTGGATTTACTGTTTCTTTGAGATAATTTAAATTGCAGATTGTAATTTCTAACTCTCTTAATTATGTTTAATGACAATCACATGATTTAATTAAACTAAGTAATTATTAATTTACTGATTCTAAAGCAGAAATCTTTAAAATATTAAATCTATTAATTACTTTTTATTCAAATTCTAATACTTTCCGTTAAAGAATCAAATTCTCTCTTTACAATTTTTAATAATCTTCAGTTTTATGTTTAGAAGAATTATTAGTATATTCTCTGCTATTGATTGTACTTTTTTAGGTAGATTCTATTTCAGGATTATGATACACTAAGTTCTATTTATATAAATACATTATTTATTCATGTAAGATATATTATCATTTTCTTACATTTTTGCCAAAACTTATGCAATAGCTTATTATGATTAAGAAATGCTTATTTATTTATTTTTTTATAAAGTAGACAATCTAGGATTGATGGGAGATCTTCTAAATTTAAGATTATTTACTTTTCGTTTGGAGATGTTTTTCTTAATTTATCTGAACTGTCACTCAAATTTATTGTTGCTTTTCTTGCAGATAAAATGGCATTTTATTATTATAAAAATAGAGCATTTTGAATTGGTAAATTGTAAACATCACTTTTTTATTAGCTGTTACCACTTATGGCTTTATCCTTAACTTATTTAGTTCTAACTAGTCATATTATTTAATACATTTTATCCTTTGAAACACTACTTGGATAATTTTTAGTTGGAGTCAGACTAGGAACTCTCTTTGTTGATAATATGTTTGACGCATTTAGTTGATAGTAACTTCTATTAATTTGACTCATTTATAATTTATCAATATGTTAAAATTATTAGTCAAATATTATATATAATTATAATGACAATATATTTATTGTAATTATGAATACTTTTCTTTTTTTGATACAGAATCTTGATATTTGAAAAATATATAAAACCTTTTCTAATTCAATATTTATAAATAATATGAATTAATAATTAAAAAAATTAGCAGTCCTATTAGTGAGTAAGAAGAAAGACCATACTTGTCTTCCAATTATGCAATAAATTAGAAATTAATTCCCTTAGCATTCATATTTAATAGATGATGAATATAATAATGAACCTGTTGATTTAGTCGTAACCATCGGCGGGGATGGAACAATTTTGTAGAGCTCCAAAACTAGTGTAGGCATGCATCTAAGATGTTCCAATAAATATTGACTCCACCTTTTGTGACATTTGGTAAAGGAACACTAGGATTCATGTGTATATACAGCTTAAGGGATCAATATGAAGTTCTTAAAAACTTACAATCTCCATATAATATAGAGTTGAAGAAGAGAATTTAAGGCAGTTTAAATGGTCAATACGTATACACTGCTTTAAATGACTTTTTCATAACCAAAGGAAATAGTATTCATGTAGTATGTCTAGACATTTATGTTAATGATACATTTGTAACTTAAGCTAGAGGGGGTATTAATTTAGAATTGATTAATATAGATGGGTTAATTATAAGTACTCCTACTGGATCAACAGCATATTGTTTAAGTGCTGGAGGTCCTTTAATATAAAATAGAGTTCCTTGTATTGCATTAGTACCAATATGTCCATTATCATTATCATTTCGTCCTTTAATTTTGCCATTTGATGTAAAAATTAGTATAAAAATGAATGCCAATTCAAGAGGAGAAGGAGTAGTAATTTGTGATGGACAAGTTCAATATGATTTTAAAAGAAATGATTGTTTTGATATTACTCCTTCTAAAAATGATGTTCAATGTATGTTTGTATAAGATATAGTATAGTTGTTGTACCACATGGACATTAAGATTTAGATTGGGTAATAAAATTGTAGAGAATGTTAAACTGGAATTCTAGATTTTAATAGCCAAGAGATTGAATTATATATAAGAGAAGTAAAATAAAATATAAAATTAATTATTCATTTATTATATGAGTGATTCTTCATCTTATTTTGATATTTAAGGTAAAGGAATATGGGAATAATGCGAGAATACATTAAATGAAGTATTTAAGATATGTAATTTTTAGGAAGATATACTATACAAAGGTTTATTGTAATATCAAAACAAGTCAACGCAATTTTGTTTGACTTAATATGAATTGTTTCGATTTAAAAAAAATGGAGAATTAAAAAAAATAGAACTCTTAACAACTTCAATTTCCCTTTTAAATGATAATACAATTTTATTATAAAAGAACCACAAATAGGTATTCTTAAAATCAAGCCCTTAAAATATTAAGGTTTGGTTTGAATTGATAAAAAATAAAAGCATATAAAATAATTTTAGATTAGATTATGATATAGGTGAGCTAATTGGTCAAGGACAATTTGCAAATGTATTTAAAGACTTATTATATTAGGTATACAAGATAACAAGTAAGAAAAATAATCAAAATTATGCATTAAAAGTATTCTAGAAGGTGGCTTTAAAGAATTTAAACGTGGATAATGTTTCTGTAGCTAAAGAAATCAAAATAATGAGGTAACTTAAGCATCCAGGTATAATCAAAATTTATGAGGTTTATGAAGAAAAAGATTTTATTTGTATAGTAATGGAATTGATGCAATGTATTTTTTAATTTTATCACTAATTTTAGATTCAATGAAATAGTAAAAAAAAAGACATTCTGAATATTAGTGTGCATAAATCATGTTACAATTATTTATGGTATTGTAATATGTACATGATCATAAAATAATCCATAGAGACATTAAAGTATTTTAACATTCTCTATTCTTTAAGCCAGACAATATATTATACAAGAATCAAGACACAATTTGTATATGTGATTTTGGCCTTGCTGATTACTATAATCCTATGTCTATTTATTAATATCAAAGATGTGGTACTCCTGGTTATGTTGCACCTGAAGTCTTAAGAGACTAGAAATATGATTTCAAGGTAGATGTATATTCAGCAGGAATCATATTATATACTCTCTTAGTAGGTAAGCAACCTTTTGCTGCACACTCATAAAATAAAGTTGTTTAACTCAATTATCATGGCAAAATTGATTATACATAAGTCAAAGCATCAGATTTATGTCTTTCTTTCTTAAAATCAGTATTATCTATAAATCCATAAGCAAGACCTTCAGCTTATGAAGTATTAC